ATTTATATAGGGGTAATAAAATTATATATGTAGATAAATTTGTTTAATATAAATAAATTATGGATAAATTTAATGGAAAAAAAATATTAATATAAAAGTTTGGTGGGCAGAAGTAATATATATATTTTTTACTTTATTAAAATGGTGATAATAGAAAATACTTGATCATAATCAATTATGTGATATCAGCAAAAATAGACACTTCAAACGAAAATATTGTCTAAATTGTTATTATTTTTAAATATATATTATTCTCTTCATTCCACATAAAGGGTTCATTCATCCTATTTTCGTTCGCCCTACATAATTTGTCCTCTCATTTTTTGAAAAATTATTATACATTTTAATCGCATTGTGAACAAAAGATAATTTAATTTTTTGTAAATGAGTTTTTTTATATGACTATAAAATGATATAAATTATAAAATTTAAATATTTTATACATTCGTTTTGTAATAAATATTTTTATGTTATTTAAACAATATAATCTAAAATATGTGTATTTAATATATATATATATATATATATATAAATCAAGCTGTCATTCCACAACCAATCATTTTAACAGTAGTACCAATAGTTGATGATCAAAAGGTGATTTGTCAAAAATACTTGATGTAATATATATATATATTATTTTATAATGATAACTTAAAAAATAAATATAAAAAAATAAAAGCTTGCAAAAATGATCACCAATAATTCATTGTTGGTTTAGGAAATAATTGCATGTTCACAAAGACATCATAAAAAAAATCAAATGTGTCCCAACATTGAAGTAACTTAACAAATATAAATAAATAAATAAATAAATATATATATATATATATATTATAAAGTGCTTTTTGTGTAGATAGTTTCCCTCAAAGAATTCCTTTGATGATAATGTGAGGGTCACCACTTCCCATATTATACAAGTAGAGATTAATTGTAATTTACCTCATCATATTAACTATGATTGTTATTATCACATTTGCATCTATTTTATTTTTATTATTAAACAAGTAGTAGTTTAATATTTTAGAAATAATAAAACATTGAATATAAAATATGTGTTCCATTCTCTTTTTGCTTTTTTTTTTTTTTTTTAAAAAGAGAATGAGATATTAAATAGTACTCCTCCCGTCTCATGTTGGATGTCTGGGTCACTGTAGACACGAGAATTTAGGATAAGTATAATTCGTGGATAATTAAGAATGTATTAGTGAAAATAATTATTCTATAATATAAATAATTATAAATTAAGATTAACATAACTAATTAGTTTAATTTAAAATTTAAAAAAAAAATTAAATTTAAAAATTTAAAATAAGATTAAAGTGTATAATCATTTTCTAAAAAATGAAAGTGACATAGGATATGAAACGGACAGAAACGACAATTTTTTTAAACATAAACAAACAATAAGATATTTTTAAAAAAAAAAACACATTTCCAATAAAAATACGATTATTTTTATCATTTTAATATGTCCAGAAAAAATAAGTTCATATATACAGTATGTAGTAAAAATTCAATAATTATTCAAATTTTTACCTATTACTATTTTTCATTTGTTAATACCATTGTGCGCATATTTTTCACAATCAAGCTATTTTAATTCAAATTTTTTATTACCAAATCTATAAAAGCGTTAACTCTTACAATTTCAAAGAAGAATTTAAAAAAATATATAGTAAAATATTATTCTCTTCATCTTTGTGTCATGTCTTGTGTTATATACACGGTAAACATAAGAATTTTAAAAAGTATAATTAGTAAATACTTAAAAAAATATATATTAGTGAAAATAATTACAATATTATATAATAATTATAAATTAAGATTAACATACCTAATTAATTTAATTATAATTTTTAAAAATTATAAATTATAAAATTTTAAATGTGATTAAAATGTGTAAGTCTTTTTAAAATAAAATGAAATATAAGATGTGAAAGTGAGAGAGTATTTTTTTTTTAGGGTTCCTAAAATTTAAACATGTTTTTAGGGTATGAAAAGAGTAATAAAAAAAATGAAGGGGATCCCCGCTGATTGAGTTAAATCTAACACCGTGTTGATTTGACCTAATTAACATATATAATAAAGATAAACAATGCATATTTTAAAATAACAAAGTATATATATTATGTTATATAATAGAACAATATATATTTTGTATTATAAATATATTAAATTATACTCCCCCCGTCTCACTTAATTGGTCCGCTCTTTCTATAGTTGTCCGTTCCGCATAATTTGTCCACTCTTTCCATATCCGCCAGTTCCACATAAATTGTCTTTTTTCTTTTTTTTTTTGAAAATATAATTATACATTTTAATCACACCTAAAAATTCATAATTCATAATTTTTTATTTTAATTAAATTTAATCTATAATTATTTTTATTATATCATAATTACTTTTACTAATACATTGTTTTATTACTTATTAATTACATAATACCTAAAACTCTGTGTCACAGCTAAAGTGAACAAATTAGCTAGGACGGAAGGAGTATATAATATATATTTCTTATTACATACGTATGATAATTGAGTCAAATATGTGGAGGATCCCGATCCTAATATACAAGCGGTGGCTACAGTGTTGAATTTAAAATTTAGGACAGTGCTGAACACGCACGCAATTTGCTAACAAACAACATACAATATTATCATTATTAATACATCATTTATATTAATATATTACAAATACAACACATGAACTAACAACACATAGGATAGTCTCACAAAATATATACAACAATTGATTTTAATATATGACATATTTTTATACCGCACATGTTGTAATTATAAACAAACAACACATATTTTTATTACAAAGAACATATATTATATGTAATAAAAACATGTGCTATTCTTATATATATTTTCATATTCTGATATGAAAAATCAACACGGTAGCCGTAACCCTTCCCTAAGATACAACAATGTTAAACTTACAAGTAAACAAAATTAAGTTTAAATAGATCCATAAATAGAATACATAGCAAAAATTTGCACAAAATAAAATTAATGAAAATAAAAAAACAAATAATACTCCCTCCGTCCTACTTACTGTGTTCATATTTCCGTTTTTGTCTGTTCCATATCTCATGTCATTTTCTTTTTTAAAAAAATTATACACTTTAATCTCATTTTAATTTTTTTTTTATTTTATAATTTTTAAATTTTAATTAGACTAATTAGTTATCTTAATTTTAATTTATAATTATTTATATTATAGAATAATTATTTTTTCTAATACATTCTTAATTATCTACTAATTATATTTATCCTAAATTTCTGTGTCTACAGCAACTCGGACACGGTACATGGGACCGATGGAGTAATATATACAAATAAAAATAAAAAAAAGAAAAGGCAATAATGGATGATGACTTGTATTGTCTTGACTTGACTTACGTGTGAAGACAAATCATTATGAAATAATAATAATAATAATAATAATAAAAATAATAATAATAATAATAATAGACACCTTTGCTTATCCCCCAAAGCACCCAACCATGCATACCCACTTAATTGAATTGAAACCCCTAATCACTCTCTTCACTCACTCCACGTCTCTTTTCTGTTTTTCTATTTTCATTTTTTTTTTAACATAATAATAATAATAACATTTAAACACAATATTGGGAATTAAAATTAAATTTCAATTTTAGGATTCATTTGTTTGTTTATTTATTTTAAACATAAATTAATATTATTCGGTTTATATAATTCTCAATAAAAATATCACATCAATATACTATTTATATTAAAATAAAAAAAAAAGAAATTATTTCAAATTAAAATCAAACAAATTCTTATACTTCTTTCGTCTCATAACAACGTATTTATTTACTATTTGCGTCGTTATTGTACTTAACATTAAAAATATCTTTATATTTGTATAATTTTTTTTTGTACAAATATCCTTCTATTAGTATTATAAGGCATTAATAGAAATATTTTTTTCATTTTCCCTCGATTTGTAATATATTTTTATATAATACTTAATATTAAGAAATCAACAAGTCAAAAGAAAATGAATACTTACTTACAGAATAAAAAGAGTATTTTAAATTAAAAATATATTTCATACACCCTTCGTCACAGCGCAATATATTTATTTTATAAATTTGTTTCTCTCACTAAAATGTATCTATTCTTATTATAAGAATAAGTCAATACCAAAATATACAATTTTTATAAAAATACTTATTTTTTGTATTTGCATTGACAAAAATATTAACATCATCTTAATATTTTTACGAATCAATAAAATACTATATTTTTTAGTAATAAAAAAATAAATGTATACCTTGAGTCAAGACGGAGGAATAACTATATTATAAGAGATTGTTTTCTATTTTCTCTCTTATTTTGAAGATAATAAAAATAATTGATTCATGCGTTATTTTAATAGAAAAATTATTTGATACATTTTTTTATTTTTTTATTTTTAAAGAAACTGAATTTAATGTAGTGTGTATATCACACAAAATGAAAAAAATAAAAAAAAATGTTTTCTTTTTAGTATTTTAGTAATATCAAGGTGTTTGTTGCTAGTTATTAGGAATTATGAAAGTATTGTGAAATAATTTTTGTTACATTTTAAATATCTTGTGAATATAATAGTATTTTTATTTAAAAATATAGATAAAAAAAATTATTGGTAACTCAAAAGATGTGTTTAGTTTTTAAATGATGAAATAATAAAATTTCACGAAAAATCATAATAATTGCATAGTAAAAAAAAAAATGTCGAAAAAAACAAGAGTCAAACAAGCAAACTCTATTATGGTAAAATAAACAAAGGAAAAGGCTTTCTCGACCAAACCCTATAACTCACTATCCTTTCACTTGCTTCTCTTACAAGACTATTTGATCGATCCTATGTGGTCTCCATGCCTTCTTCTTTCATTGTTCTAATTAATCATACATACATACATATATATATATATAATCTCCATTTCTTCGACATCAACTCCAAACTTCTTACATAGCCTTCTATTCATATACCTTAAGTACAAATCATGCTTCTTTCCAAATTACCCGCAAAAATTCTTGTGGGCATATCTTCCGATGCCGCCGAGAGCCACGACCTTATTTCTTGGGCTATTCGAGTTGTGGCCCGACCGGGCGACACTGTCGTCGCATTTCATGTAATAGGTGAGTCGGGCTCGACATTATTGTGTACTTACATTTGTTTGTTAAGGTTGAGGTTAAGTTGTGTTTTTGGAAGTTTGGCTTCTATTTTGTTTTTTTATTATAGGACCATTACGGTTTTATATATATATATATTATTTTTATCTTATAAAACATTACATTCAAACCGATATTAAATCAAAAATCCAAACTGAACTCACACATTTTCAATTTCTTACAAGACATTGGAATCAAATAAGGTGTTTTTTTTTTTTTTTTTTTTCCTTGTGTGTATAATTTATTTAATGTTTTATTATTTTAAAACGTTACATTCAATATCTATTTTTCGGAGGTTGTTTGTGTTTTAATAAAAAATATTTAATACGATGCTGACAACACTTTAAATATTGACAGTCGTCGTATAAAATATGCCTATGAATGCTTTAAAATCAATTTATATTAATTTATATTATTTAATTATATTTTAAATATAATTAAGATAGTTAATATTATAGTTAATCACCACAACTGCTAAAAAATAGTTTCAGCACATGATCTGTGCTGATAAAATATAAAATAATGATACAAAGTTTGTATTTATATAATATAAAAATAATAAATGAATAAATAACACATAACAATAATTCATACAATAAATCTATTATACCCAGTGCCAGTGGCGGACCTATTAAGGGGCAAGGGTGAGCTCTACCCCAACTCCACTTTTATCCTATTTTATTAAATTTTTTTATTTTTAAAAGAATAATATATATATATAATTTATAGAAAATATTTAAAATAAATAAAAATAATAAAAACTGAGTGTTGATTTTTTTTTAATAAGAAAGTGCATTAGTTTTATTTTTTCCAAAATATAATATATAAATATTTACTAATAAAAAAGATTATTTTTTTTATTTGGACTATATTTGATGTAATAATTAACATTTAATATTAGTATGCAAAAAATAAATATAAAATTATTAAGTGGATTATAGTAGTATTATTTTACAAATAAAAAATTTATTTTGTAAATTTAAAAAATTGCCCCCTCTCTATTAATATTCTAGTTCCGTCACTACTCAGTGCAATAGTATAATTATACTCAGCACAATATATATATTTATACAACAATTTCTATAAGTATAAACTTTCAACAAATAATTTAAATTAATACATTGTGATGTACTCCCTCTGTTCTAAATGAAAGGGTCATTTGAAGTTTTTTAATAAATTAAAAAATAATAGTATTTTATTAATTAGTGAAAGTACGTAAGAGTTTTTGATACATTTGACTTAAGTAAATGTTTGTAATTTACGTAAAATTTAAGGTATTTGATATTAGTATATAATTATTTTTTCTAAAATAGAAAATAGATATTTTGAAGTGGAACATACGAAAATAGTAAAAATGATATTTTGAATTGAGACGGAGGAATTATTAATTTAAATTATGTATTAACCCTATGTTTCTTGTGTGCTAAATGATGCAATAGCACGCTAAGATCCCGCTATTTTTCTATTTAAAATATAGCTATCATTTTACCTAAAAAATAAAAATACAAAGCAACACTCCCTTACAAGTCTAAGGAACAAAATTTGCGAAAATGAAGCAGGGGCGACGCCGGAGAATAAGTCTATCGAATCAAGAAAAGAGAACAAAATCAAGAAGGAATCATCGAGAAAGATTCAAAAGCAAATACGGCAAGCCAAATCGTACGCGATATCAATCACAGGAGAACTCGTCAAGACATCCCAATCCCATGAGGTAATAAAAGCACAATAACATTGTAATACTTCGTCTTCCTTTTGTTCGCCATTTTTTCCGAAGATTTTATTGCCAAAAATAGGTGAATCTTGAGGCAAGAATCGGAATAAATTCTAGTACTGGTAAATGTCTAGTACTCGAAGCCACAGCCATGGCAGCCGACTATCTCGTCATAGGAGGCCATCGAAGGAACAGGTCAGACCGCAGCGACTCATTCATAAACATTATGTGGAAGAAATTTACGAGAATTACATTTGGCATGATTTTCTCGACTAGAACAACCTCGTCGGTCTCCAAGTACTGTTGCGAGCATGTCCCCAAGGACTGCTCGTTGGTTATTGTAAGAAGAACTCGACAGGATCATTTTTCCGACACCTCTTTGCTTCTTCAAGGTTCGACCCCAAAGATTTTTTCCTGTGTAAATTGGATTATCGTTTCACTTAAAAGTTTAACCTATATAACATACCAGTCGTATAATATGAGTCATATTCTATTCAAAATTTTACTAAAATGGTAAAAATTAAATCATCGATTGTATAGGAATAATGCAACATAAAAAAAAAATAATAATAAAAAAAAAAAAGAGAGAAAAAAAAGAAAGAATTGAGTCAGGTGTAGTTTTAGGGAAGAGCAAGACACGGCCAACTATTCGATATAAAAAATCAAACTGAAATTAAAAATTTGGTTTGAAAATTTTAGACATTTGGATTGGATCGATTTGAAAATTTCTTAAATTTTGAAATTTCAAATTGGTATACTAAAAACCTAAATAAATCTGAGATCTGAAACATATTAAAATATTAATATATTACAAGGACACATTTTATAAATTTTGAAATTTTTATTCAGAGTTTTATGTATTTAGTATTTTTTTTAATATATTTCAATGATAGATGATCCTATCTTGTGTTTGTATTTTGGTTTATTGAACATTATATATTTATTATTTAATAAATTTATCTAATTAAAAAAATAAAATAAAATTTTCACTTTGATTTGGATTTTATAATTAGAATTCAGCATTTTGGATAATTTTATTTGTTCAGATCAATTTTTTATAAAATTTTAAAATTTGAATCCGAATTGAAAATCTGAATGTTCACCCTAATTATAGATTGTAAAATAGAAGGTGAACATTAAAATTTTGTCCTAACATTTTTTACTTTTGTATACATTATACACTAGATTGTCCCGATGAATCGAGCAATAGATGGTCCGAAAAGAACTCGGATGTCGAAAGCTCATTTTCATCCGATGAAAATGAAATATCAACGAGCATGAAGTGCAAAAAGCCATCTCCGCGAACGGTACTCTCCATATGTGAGGAAGATTCGCAAAGCAATACAGACGAAGATAGTTCAAACTCAAGCGAATCACTCGCCACATTTTCAACATTAGTGACCGAAGATAAACAAGAATCGAGAAAGCCCATCTCACCATTCAAGATTATTTCGTCATTCTTTCGCCTCCCATCATTCGATGGGAGTGCGAGAAAGCAAGAAAAGGACTTGCTCAAGAACCAAAAGGATCAACCTTTGCTCGAGTGTTTTAGCTATCAACAACTTGCCATTGCTACTAGAAACTTTTGCATTGGTAACTTACTCTCTTCCCTTTCATTCATCATCGAGATAACTTGGCAATTATCTTCACTTTTTTTCACTATTCAATTTTTTATAGTTTGCGATAAAAATGCATTCTCTTTCTTACAAGACACCATATCCAAATTACTATTCAAACAAAAAGTCATAATCAGAATTACAAAAATAAAAGGGTAAACTGATATTTTAGTTCCATAATTGGACTCCTTTATCATTTTAGTCATGTAATTTAATTTTGTTGCGAATTAGTCTCGTAAGTGAAAAAAAATTACAATTTTAATCCTCCGGCGCCGAAGATGCCTACGTGGCACCCATGTAGTTCGCCGGAGGACACGTGTCCGGAAGGTCAGCAAAACCACAAGTGAATAGAGGATTTAATACAGCATTGGAAGTTAGTTTCTTGAAAAATTTGAACCAAATGTATTGTTCTATTAAGCGACGAAACGAGCGTTATTGTGACAGAAAACATGGTGGGACAAGGAGGATATTCGGAAGTTTACAAAGGAGAAACGGCAAAGGGATGTAGCATAGCCGTGAAGCGTTTGGCGAAGGACAATGCGAATCCGGAGAAGGAAAAGGAGTTCCTCATGGAGTTAGGGATTATCGGACAAGTCAATCATCCCAACACCGCGAAATTGCTCGGATTTTGCGTCGAAAATGGACTTTACCTTGTCTTCGAACTATATCCATACGGAACTCTTTCATCCGCACTACATGGTAAAGCAAGATCGAACAAATCTTTAAATGTCTTTTAAAACAAAACTTTGCGCGTAAAACACTTTGTCAAAATGTTTGTTCTTGCAATGTTATAGAGGCGACGAGGCCATATCTCGATTGGCCCATAAGATACCGTATAATACTCGGGGTCGCGAGGGGTTTGCATTACCTTCACAAGTGTTGCAAGCACCGGATCATCCATCGGGACATCAAGGCATCGAATGTTCTTCTTGGCCCCGACTACGAACCTCAAGTATGAACTTGTTTTAACCTTCTTTTTTTTTTTGATCCATTTCTTTTTCTAAGGAAATTAATGTTAGTGTAAAAAGAGAGAGTTCTTTATTTTTCGCGATGATTTTTTAAATAATTATATATACTTATTTTTTTGTTGTAGATATCGGATTTTGGGCTCGCAAAGTGGCTTCCAAGTAAATGGACTCACCATGCTGTAATTCCCATTGAAGGAACATTTGGATACTTAGCCCCTGAGTACTTTATGCACGGTATTGTTGATGAGAAGACCGATGTCTTTGCATTCGGTATACTTCTCTTGGAAATTATTACGGGACGAAGGCCCGTTGACTCGACAGGACAACACCTACTTTTATGGGTAAAGCAATTAATATGTATTTTTTTGAATTATATTATCTTAAGTTATGAGAAAATTAGATGTAATTCTAGAGTCGTCGAAGGCTTGAACTTATGACATAATAGTCGCGAGTCTACTTCTACATTATTAAGTCATCTCTTACAAAACAAAATATTATTATTATTATTATTTGAATTCGAAGAAGAAGAAGAAATTATATTATTTTAATTTTATTCCATAATTTACTACTAAAGTCAGGATGATTATTTTATTTTTATTAGTATTATTTGTGATGGATAGCGGTTAGGGTGTCAAATCAACAAACTACCCTGAAAGAATTATAAAATCATCACTCGCCCGATAACATAATACTAGGTTAGGATATTAATTTGAAACAATTAATAAAATTAATATTTTCTACTTTCTTTATAGACGTTTGATAATTAGATCAAATTACTATAGGCTGACATCATAATAATATTTGTTGAAATCAAAATTTGTTTTACTACATGTAATTATATAATATGTTATTCAAAAATATGTTATATATTATATCAATATTTTATTTTTATTTTTATTATTATTATTATTTTTTTTTATATATATTTGTTAATTGAATCAAATCAACACTCTGTGATGACGTAGAAATAAATTAAATAATAAATATGGTAAATGGTACAGGCAAAGCCATTGATGGAAAGTGGAAATTTGAAAGAATTGGCAGATCCAAAAATGGAAGGGAGATTTGAGATGGAGGACTTCTACAGAGTGGCCCTAACGGCGTCGTATTGTGTTAGACAGTCTTCTATATGGAGACCTTCTATGACCGAGGTACCTATATATATATATATATATACTTCTTAATTTAAATTAAATTAAATTAAATTAAATTAAATCCTAAGTTAATATAATAATTTTTTTTTTTTTTTTTGTAGGTTTTACAATTACTAAGATATGGGCAAGGATTGGAATTATCAGAAAGTTGGAGGATACCAAAATTCACAAGTGATGAAATTGATGATTACTCTATGGTCTTTGGATATGAACTTCCTTCTGATTTGGCTTTGGATGATATCTTGTTCATGCAATAGGATTTTTCTTTTTCCTTTTTTTTTTTTTTTTTTTTTTTTGAATTTTCATTTTGAATTCTAATTTTAATTTTAGATGAATGAAATATATATATATATATATGTTACAATAACTTATAGATTACTTAGTATTGTAGTGATTGTTTTTTACTCTCTCTCTCTCTACATGTATGTATTTGGAATAATTGTACTCCCTTCGTCCAAGATATTTTTGACTTATTACTGTAGATACGAGAATTTATGTAAAATATAATTAGTAGGTAATTAAGAAGTATATTAGTAAAAATAATTATAAATTAAGATTAAGCTAAGTAAATAGTTTAATTAAAATTAAAAAAATTATAAAATTTAAAATATGATTAAAGTGCACAAATATATTTCTAATAAGTTATATGAGACAGAAGAAAGTAAAAAATATTGACATATTATGTGGGATAAAGGAAGTAACGTTTTAGGACAATGTGTGAAACAAGTTTGGGGGATTGTAATACATACTCTGTTTTTTGTAATATAGTTCAATGTTGTATCTATTTTATTTTTATTTTTTCCAATTTAATTGTGTGTATTTTCATATTCCACTCCTTTTGTTCCATCCAAATGTATTTGTATTAAATTGAGGGAGTGTTTCTTTAATTAAATTTTATGGAAAATTATTATTTGAATTCTGTATTTTTTTTAAAAAAAATACTTTAACTAATAATTGTCTATATATTGTTATATAATCAAAATCGGTCTGGATCCTACATCTAATATTGTTTTTTTTTTCGTATTTTTTACATTCTATAATTTAATTATTTTATAATTAAAAACATATTAGTAATAAAGCTATTATTAACACAATTAATGAATATTTCTAATTGGTTCAAACTCCCGACGTTTTAGATCTTGTATTCACCTAGTGTGACTTGTCTAATCAGGTCTAGTTTGCAAACTATTAAATTCGACTACGAGTTTACTCCGAGCGCACTCAATAAAAAAAAGAATAAATACTTCTATATTTCGTTGCGTTGTTGTTTTTATAGTTTTAGATATTTTTATCGAAAAGTATAAAACGTTGTAAAATGATTATAAAGAATAACATTTTGTAAGATATGAAGAATTTCAATTGTATTATAAGAAATGAGATGGTTTTTTTTTAAAAAAAAAAAAAAAAAAAAAAAAAAGACTTTTGTATGCTTCTATTGATATTTCATATAAATGAACAAATATATTTTATTAAGTAAATACTTAATAAAATATAATTCTAAAAAATATTTTAAATTTATTTTTAATTAAACATATATTACACAATAAAATAATTTATAAAAAATAATATTTTATTATCTAACAATGTACCGCAACTTCCAACTTACAACCAAACATATCCTAAGTAATTATATAAATAAAATATGTATATTTAATTTCATTTTACAACTTATTTTATGTAACAAATTTACATTATTTTTTATTAAAGCATGAATAATTTTTTCAAGTGTAATTCAGTATGTATAAGTAAAAGAGACAAATTATTGGGTTGAGGAAATAAACAATGGCATTATAATTTTTGTTCATATTATAATAAAAACAATTTGTGTTCGAAGTTAGTGCTCGGTTAAATTAGAGCGGACAACAACTAATCATAATGTGACATATAATTGAATTTGGATAAACAAAAAAAGAAGAAAATTTGATTTAATTATATATACAAATCAACACGTATTAGAGTTGTTCTTAACTAAACCCGACACAAAAATCCGATTTTATATTAGTATTAATTAATTAATTATATAAAATCATTCTAATTTAATAATTAGTTCATATATTAATTTAAATTTAATTTAATCTTAAATAATCTATTCACTATACACATTACACTACAATCTATACATACAATAATTTCAATCCAATACGAACCTGACGCAAATCGATCAATTGTCAACGATTCATCGTAGGTACACAATTTATTTATAGTTTAAAAATATCAAATAAAATCCTTATTTTAAAGCAATTTTTTTATTGAAAACATCTAAATCCAAATTCAAAACAGGCTCGTTTTCAGAATGGATGCAAGCTGAAACTTAGGGGGTTGGGTTGATCAAGATTCATGATCGGATAAAAAGACAAATCGAGAGTAAATATTCGATATATATATTTCTTTGAACTCCCAAAAAAATAAAATTCAGTCGACGACATGCGTAACAATTACAGGAAACATAAGGTATCGAATAGATATTCTTGTCTTAGAAAAACTCAAAACATTCTATCGAGTATCAGAAGACATCCTAAAGGAATCTCAACACAAATCATACCGATAATTTGCAAGATTTTGTCGATCGCACCAGTCCCAAGCTGTCCGAATCCAAAAATTTAGCCGCCTCCGGATTTAAGAGTATTGCTTAACCTATATTAAATTAGCAATGCCATAAAGAAATCAGTCAACGCGCGGATAAACATACGAGAGTAAATAATGTCGTAAAAGTTCTCTAGAGAATATCATCTTAAGCAATTGCAAGTAAAATCCGTTAACTTTGGCAGCCAGCCAATAACCTCGTGCAACTAACTTTGGCAGCCAGCCAAGAACCTCGTGCAACTAAAATTGCCACAATAAACTTTTATGAACAATAAAACTAAACCAAATAATTAACGTGATCGATATCACCAACAAAGTGGCTTTTGTATGACTCGTAGTCAGTTTTAGAGAGAGCCTTATTTCCGTAAGGCAAAATAAATGATCTAATAAGTGTAAAACCGAATTGAATCTCTCTAGGGGGACCATAACGCCGATTTTACGTGACCTAACTATATAAGAGCAATCAGAACTGTGAAACTCAAAACGATACAAAATACAGTGATCAATATGTGCAGGAACTCTAGTAAGCATATCCAGAGTGTGTTTTTCCGCCAATTCCAAAAAACACATTTCTCCCAAAAAAAAAATTAATATGTTACACACACTCATTATTTTTATATTACTTATACAATTTCTTATACATTACATAAAAAGTATCTCTTCAAACAATTTTACTAAACAAACACACCCCAATTTTATGTTAGCTCTACAAGTGATACCAAAGTTCACTACTTTTGCTAATTTCTCATGTCCTTAATTCCATATAAAACGAACAATAATTTATATGTTAAGGGTAAATTGCATGAACAAACTACGGACGTGTCACTCGGTGTAAAGCAACGAACCGATGTGCAGCCTGAATAATAATTTTTGGCAGTAGATTTTTCAATAAGAAACTTATTGGCCAGTCTAGGTATCAAGTAACACATATTTAGCATCTATTTCAGGTGTGTGTTATGAAGATTACCAGTCCAAGCCCTCGAAGAGACCTTCTCCTTTAATAGCAGAAGTCTTAAAAATGGCCCATTGACGGTTCTTTATCTTGTGCAACTCCAAGGACTCGGTTATAGCAGCATCATCAAGTGCCCCAGGAAGATCCTGCAAAACAAGACACATAGGTTTTTTTGTTTTTTTAATTTCAAACTCAAACCTACACTATTCAGCCCGTACGGTTTTCAATAAAAATACATTATAGATAAAAACACTTATGTAAAACAAAACTCAAATCAAAATCTCAAACTCAAATTAAAACCTCCAACTCAAATCAAAACTAAACACACACATTAATGCAAATATTTTCTCTCCATTGGCATGGGCATTGTTCTGAGTGCTTGCAATCACGGGCAATCAGAAAATTTGTTTCTAAAACACAATGGAAGAACAAGTATAAGCAAAGTGGGCCAAATACCTGCTTGTTTGCAAATATGAGGACCACGGCACCTTTAAGCTCCTCCTCCTGCCACCAAATTGCAGGCAAATGTCAATGAAAAAGTTACAGAATTTTTGTTTGACTTTGTGATCAAGATACTATAAAATGAAGCATATTATAGTCCGTTAATTGAAAGAAACAAAACAGCCATTGTTAAACTACCATCCAGTAAAATAAATAGAATATTCATGAATAAAGGCTCATGTCCACCTCTAAGTCCCATCCGTAAAACTCATGTCATGTAGCTAATTGAAGCCTTTTAAACCAAAACTATCCCCTTTCAAAGGAAATAATTCGATCCACTTCTGTCTTTTATAAATAAAATAGGACATTGCAAGAAAGGAAAGGTTTAAGGCCGCACGATAAAAAAGAACTCTTGGGGCCAATCATTAGCTCATGGAAATGATCAAGATTTTTAATATGTACTGATACATGTGGCAAATATTTTTAATAGTTCAATGGAGTGAGGGACTTGTTGGCAAAACTCATATGTATCGCTTGTTTGTTACTCTCGTGACAGATTGACGCCAACCACATCACTATCATACAAAGAAAACACCACTCTATGCAAACAACTCCCTTTGACGGTAGCAACTTAGGGTGTATTTGTTTTGTAAAATAGTTTAAAGGGATATTTTTTTTATATGAGGTACAGAGAATTGTGTAGGTAATATAAAAATAATGAGTGTAATATTATTAATTTTTTAAAGAAATGTGTTAGTTTGGAAAACAAAAAGAACACACCCTTAGGCTCTTCGCTTTGATTTTTTTTTTTTTTTTCAGTTTATTTTCTTATAAAAGTACACTATTTTTTCTCACAAAAAATGACATCCGATCACTATTTAAATCAAAATCAACAAACCAAACACACCATTAGAATCATATAATATAACTGATATATTCATATCAATAATATATAATCTAACAATTTTATTAAAAGAACGATGGAAATTATTTATGACCTAAATATCTTTATTTTTTATTTTTTCTGGGGAGGGGGAAAGTAAAATAGATTTAGATTAGATGATAGAGATATAGAGTTAAGGCCCCGGGAAGGGAGAATGAGTTACAACGAACCATTACGTATTCCATACTTCTAACACTGTGGAAGTCGTCTGCAGATTCAACTACGGGAAGATATGTTGAAAAATGATAGAAGGGGAATTTTCAATAGCGAGGCATAGCCTATTAGTTTTGAAATTAAGTCTCCAAGGAGAAGCCGGACCATGAATCAAACTGAGCATTTGCTAGTCACTCTAATTAGACCATGACCTACATAATTCTATAAGTTTGAAATTTATGTAATTAATAATGATAATAATACATCTTTTCACAGATGATTTATATCTAATAATCATGTGATGATCTACAAAAAAATACAAGTGCAGGTTTTGTCTCAATATGAACATTATAAAATTGAAAAACAAAAAGTAAAACATGTTCTATTTTTAAAAGATTGTATAGCAAATTAATGAATGCTTAATAGTGTTTGGTCCATCGTTAACATAGATGATTATTAATGTGATGATTTTATGCACTTTTTACTAACTATGATGCTTTGAATTTCTATAGTGACGTGCAAGGAGCATTGTGCATTTCACGCAGAATCTGAGAATTCACGAATATTCTGTCGTATTTAAGCTCTTATGATGCATACGAACGATGAAGTTTAAAGTGATACGCTGATCTTAAACTTAATAAACTACAAATGAGAAAGCCATCAACCAAAGGAAGATTTGAAGCAGCACAGACAAAACAAAAGTGCAGTTTCTGAGTTATCAAAGCAGTAGCACCAGCTATGCAGAGAACAATGTAGCTGTTGCAATCCAGCAAATTTCCATGTCCTAGGATTTGAATTTGGTAGACTTTTTTAGATTCTTACAATGCTAATGGAAGTTGAATTGGTGAGGAATCCGAAATTAGTAGCACAGATACACAAATTCATATATAGGTTACATATTGCACTTTCAATTGGTTTCTTTGTAATGTTGGTAACTTATTGCGCTAAGGCTTTTTTTATCAAATTTCTTCCTAGTTAACACAACTGTTCAAGCTAACTCTAAACCTTAAACCCCAAATTTTGATATAGCGCCGGATGCACAATTGCTAATAGAGAAAGAAGAACAAAAGTCCTGTTTCAAATTACATGTATTGTTTCGGGTCAAAGGGGCCAATAAAAAATCAAAATCATATTTCTTTATAATCATCACTGAATGCACATAAACCCTCCACTAGGTTGTAAATTAATCAAATTATTTTGTTCAATTCAATATTCGATTCAAAATTTTGATATTCGTATTCTAAATTTTATAATTTGAATTCAAACATAGATATTCAATTCAATTTGAATATCAATATGGATCAAATATAAATATAAAATTTAATATTCGGTTTTATATTCGAAAATATGCGATTCGATTATAAAATATATATAATATACATATATATATTCCAAAGTTAAATAAATCAAACTAAATTTATTATAATGTTACTTTTGAACTTTTATATAGATAAATATATAATGTACTAAAACTGCAACTATATGATAGTTTATTTTGTTAGAGGAAGTTCCGTGTCAATTTGAAATTTTTGATAAATAAGGGATGGATGTATTTTTTTCTATATCACAAAATTTCGAATCGAATTGAATTTTGAATAGAAAATTAAAATGATATTTTTAATATTGTATTTTAAAAAATAAAATCAAATGCGTGAAGGTGAATCGAATCAAATAATTTTAAAATTATTTCAAATCAAATACGAATATCATTTGAGATTCAAAACAAATCGAATAACGAATAATTTAATGAATATCAAATTGAATATTGCAGTATTCGCTTCGATTCGATTAGTATACAACCCCACCCTCCACCCACTAAAAATGACCATTGCCTAATATTTTTCTATACTTGACACAACATTTTGTAACATAGTTGACACTGTACTTCGTTGGCCCCTAAACTAATAGCTCAAAAAAAATGATATTTGCAACTTTCATTGTGATTCAACAACCAATACACCCGATGCAAGGATATTTCTAAATTACCACATGCCCAATTTTTCTGCACAGTTATTTATCATACTGTCTCTGACAGCTACAGCAATGTTACAGTTGACTTAAGTATCTCACTAAAATTGCAAATAAAATAGATACCAGAAAATATAAACAAATTAGTATTACACTCCCTAAACTACAAGGTCAAGAAATATTTCATGCAAACACATCCAACATCACTTGGATACAAGCGTAAGGAGTAAAAAAGCAAAGAGTACCTCCAATATTGAATGAAATTCTTCTTTGGCGACAACTAGTCTGTCTGTGTCGCTAGAATCAACAACATATATTATGGCTTGAGTATTAGGAAAATAGCACCGCCAGTAAGGCCTAGAACATCAAAACCAAAAGTAAAATGAGCATCAGCGATGAATTTCTAAGGAAGATAATATCAAATCCATCACAAGACTAAGATTATAAGTAAAGTTAGAAATTTCACAAAGCAAGTTCCAGACTAAGGATTTAATGGGATATGTAGTGCTGATTACCATGACTTGGCCAGATATCCATAGTAAACTGCATATACAACTAGAGCACAATTGGCGGTAAAATATTCATCATCAAGATCAAATCTTCCTCCCCAAAACTTAGTCAATAGGCTATAGTTCATTGTTTCACAAAAGATTCGACTCCAGCATTACTTGATGACAAGATCTTATCTAATCTACGTAATCATCTAATAGGTACAAGAAATGCAGTCTGCAGAATTCTAGGTTCATAAGTCTTGTAAACAAGATAAAAATGCAGAACATACAAGCCCATAGCCGGAAAGGTGCCAAATGGAAATTGGACCACAGCAAATTACGCAACTTGAGTTTCACTTTGAGGGTCAAGCATGGTTATGGGTGCTTAAATTTGGTCATTCATGATTTATTATTAGATATAAATTTATCCTTCCATCTCTTGTATTTTTTTATCCTCTAAATAGAGCCCTGCTTTGTTAAATAGAACTCGCCAGGTTTGTTTGTGTTTTCGATATTTTTTTCACCATATAATCTACAGTAAAATGTTATTACCAAACATCTGTTTTTTATACAAAATATCAAATACAAAACCTACTTTTCATTCAAAACATCAAATCCAACACCTATTTCTCATTTAAATCATTAAACCCAAATCTTATTTTTCATTCAAAAAATTTCAAATCCAAAACACAAGCAAACACTCTTTTCCTTAAGTGAAAATGTTTGAAAATTATTCATTTAGATGAATATTGCCAATTGGGTCTACATGATGTGCACTTAAAATTTGCCATCCTTACAAATCTAGGTGAAAGATTCATCTAGGGATTCATCTAGGCCCAGTTCTGTTGGAGAGTAAGGTTCACATCTATTGTGAGGAGTTAGGTTCTTTGTTTTAATTGTATCTGATCTGTTCTCACTTCATTGTTTTCTTTCCTTCCTTTTGAGCTGACCTATCCACTCTATTCTTCACATTTTCCAATTTTTGCTATCATATAATTAATTAAACTTGACTGAGAACTAAGTTAGATCTCTTTCATCGTGGTCTCATTTTCCTGCTTTTGTTTTCCCTTTATAGTGAAGACAAGTAACGTGATCCTTTTTCTACATTTCTATCTTCAAAGTTTGAGTCTTGCATGCAATTTTTCCGCCCTTACATTCATCTCATGCATGTCAATGTTGTGTCAAAATTTAGTTTGTCGAATCACTCCCTCCGTCCACCAAATATATGTTTCTTTTCCTTTTTTTGTTTGTCCACAAAAAATATACACATTACATTTATAGCAAAAAACTATTACACTCCTTAATTTATATCTCTTATACACTCAATCTATCAAAAAATTTCTCACTTCATTAACTCACTTATATACTTCCCAAAATATCCCTACTTCATATCACAATCAACCAATATTATTATTAAAAAAAAAAAGAAAAAAAAAGGACTTTTCTTACATTGCTGGTCTTATTTTATTTCATTATTGGTGTCTTTAATCGACTCATCTTTTCTTATTGTTTTCCTATGTAAATTTGTCATTCATTACTATTCATTAACTTTACTTCCACTTGGATTTCTCAAGCAAGAATTAAAGTAGTGAGCATATTTTTTGCACCAATGCTTAATATATTGTAGTATCTACCCATGGCGCAGAACACATGAGAATTCCAATTTCTTCTTTTTCTTGAGTAGAATGCTTAGAGATTGTTCATTTAGTTGAACACTAGCAATCAAGTTTGTAAGAAAATTTCACTTGAGGTTTGTCATCCTTACAAATCTAGGTAGCACAATACATCTTAGATGTTACAATTGATCCTCATCTGTTGGGAGTAAGGCTCCTGTCCATTGTGATGCACTGAATTATGCCTCATATATTGGATGTTTCATTTAATTACATCTAATCATTTCTAGTTTCCTTATTTTCTTTCCTTCCTAGGAGTTAAACTGACCAGTTAGTTCATCACACTTTCCACTTTATGTCAAAATGTATTTGAGCTTATTTACTAGTTTTTTCATTTTTTTCATTCAATATTCTCTTTACCAGATCTCAGCCCTATTAACCTCATCATCTAAAGCAACACGGTGTAAACCCACGGAAAGAGATTTTATCTAAGACAACAAATAGTAAATTCATCAGTGAGATGCAAGCAAGTAAAGGTTGGTCATAATAACTGTACTATACAATAACCAAAAAAAAATGGAAAAAGAGAGTATGTTACCTGATACTAGTTTGTCCACCTGTTATGAGCAATAAAAACCAGTGTTAGATATGAACTTCAATATATATTCTTCCATCATAATGCAAATAACTAATATGATAACAAGGAACTATATGAAGTGATAATGAGAACTAAATAAAATGATAACAAGGAACTATATGAAGTGATAATGAGATAAATGAAAAAAAGAAAGAGCTTCCATTGTGTGCAAAAAAACACCTAGATCCCACACTTGAAACTTTATGTTGTTATACTGCACGGTCTCCACATTGAACCCGATCGCTGCAATCAAATGTATGCATAATTTGTTAATCACAATACATGGAAAGTTCCATTCAGTTAATCAAGAAATTTACCTACTCATGTTATCAAGAAAGAAAAAAAAAAAAAAAAAAAAGAAATTTATCTACTCACTCATACCAATTACCATCCACACCAATCCATAAACTCAGATAGATACATTAAGACCAAGTTTATGTTGCTTCATGGAATTAATACCCTAAATGATAATTTTAACCGAACTCTGGTATTAGATTAATCAATCACATACGAATATATGATTAGATAACCAATCGAAACAGAGCCCAAATCATACACTTAACTAGCAGATAAAGTGTAAGATCCAAAGACAACTTCAACAACAGCACTAACCATCCAGTAGCTGTAGTTGTACTTACTCCTCTTAATAATGATTGATTTACAGAAGAAAACACAAAGAAATTCATCAAATGCTTCCACAAAATCTTTAAAATCAAAAACTTACTTGGGATGGTGGATACTACTTCACCCATCTGAAGTCGGTCTGCGAAAATTAAAAATCAAAATAAATAAACAGAGAATGCATCACCGGAAGAAAGTAAGCTGTAAACATAGAAATCACTCGACGAATTTATTTATCAAAGTGAGAATTCATACAAAGAATTGTGGTTTTCCCGGCATTGTCAAGGCCTAGAACCAGGATCCGAGCTTCCTTGTTCCCAAACAACGACGAAAAAAGCCGCGTAAACACTATTCCCATGTTCCCCTCCTCACCAAAAACAGCTCAATTACGAAACAAACGCAGAAACACGAGAAGCACAAAAACACCAGATCGAGATCCAATAACAATAGAACTGCCCAATTACACTTCCTGCGGACGATTGAAGCCAAAAGTTAACAGCGATCCTAAATCTACAAAACCACAAACTGAGAGAAAAACAAACAAACAGATATATATACCCTCAGAAACGTGAAATCAATTCCTGGCGGAAGATGGGGAAGCCTGCCCGTGATCACGCGAATAAGGAAATGGGGAGTAAAGTGCATCTACGTTTTATATGCTTTGATTAACTACCGATGAAGCGCTGTGTCGCCATGAACATTTTTCTTTGGTGGAATCTCAGGAATTTGTACGAATGTCGATTTTTTTTTTTTTTTTTAACTTTTGCAGGTTGGGAATTGAGAATTGAAATGAAAATGAAAAGTCAAGAACGAAGAACCCGACCCGTATAGTAAATGGGCTACTCCTTTAAAATAAATATTAATTTAGTGTTTTGATTGGAAATTAATGTAAAAAAATATATTTTATTTGAATATTAATTTTAGGAAAAAATATAATATATATTGAAAATGTGTATCATAAAAAAAATTGTGGATAAACAACTATAAATAAATACAAAAAATTGTTATAATATACGGATGGTCCGGTCGTGTAGGGGTTGCACATGATTCGCCCAGTGTGACTTTCTTATCGGGCCTAATTTGCTATATCATCCCCGTCCTTTAACAAATTATCTATTTTTTTATTGTGATTTGTGATATAACAAAATATTCATTTTTATTTTTAGTAAATGTACTATATACATAACATTACCAATACTCTTACTATTTACAATGTATTATACAAATATTATTACATTTATATTACACAATACTAATAAATTTAGTTAATTTTTTCACATTTATCTTTACTATGTACAAAAAGCAAACGGATACATATTTATGGGATAGAGAGGATATATATATATATATACACATATGAGTATCTATACACACATGTGAAGAGGAGACAGAGAGGGAGGACAACGGATTCTATCCCCTATTAAGGGTGTGTTTGTTTGAAGGATTTTGGTGGATTTTCACTATTCATTCAATTTTTTCCCTTCAAAAACATCAAATCAAACACCTATTTTTTATTTTTTATATTATATTAAAAATCAATTTTACATTCAAAACATCACATCAAACCCTATTTATATCACATCATACAACTATTCAAATTCAAAATTTTTACTATTCAAATCCCAACTCAAAATCCAAACCTCCAAACAAACACACCCTAAATGGCACTCGATCCGATGTCCTTCTCCCTTTGTATCTCAATGTGTTCTCTTTCAAATGTGTATGTATAAATTATATATACATGTGTATATATGTGTGTATTTAGATACACATATGTGAGAGATGACACAGGAGGAGGGAGACAGTGGATCTCATCCTCTATTACATGACACCGAATATGTTGTTCGACTCACTATGTGTCTCCTCTCACATGTGTATCTATGTCCACATGTGAGTAAGAGTAAGCAAAATATTAGAAAATTCGATTCAAATCAAATCAAAAAATTTACCGCTAAATTATATAATATTCCCTTATATTTTAGTAAAAATGCATAAAATACCTTGTGTCTTATTTATTACGTGCAACTCCTTTGTGTTAATGTAAAATTTGCACGAAACACCTTTTTTTTTTTGTCCAAAAGTGATATTTGATTCTAAATAAATACCTAAATTATGCAAGTTTTATACAAATAAAAAATGCAAAATATCTTAAATAATTTTTTTGCATACAATAAATAAATAAAGAATTGATTAATCCTTTATTTTATAGTTTTTGGAGACAATTTATTTGATTTTTATAAAAACTATAAAAATAAATGATTGATTGATCATTTATTTATTTATTTATTTTATTCAAAAAATATTTAAGATATTTTGTACTTTTTATTTGTATATAACTTGTATAGTTTAGCTCTTTATTTAAAACCAAATATCAATTTTGGACATGGATGGTGTTTTATGCAAACTTTACATTAACACAAGGGGGTTTCACGTAATAAATAAAAACATAAGGTATTTTGTGTATTTTTACTAAAATACGAGAGAGTGTTATATAATGTAACCAATTTAAAATTTGATTCGGATTGAATATTTTATAAATTTTGAATTTTGAGATCGATTCGGATCAGTATATTAAAAATTTGAACCAATCCTAATATACTATTTTAATATATTTTATTATTATATATTTTTAATATTTTAATAAAAATATAATGTTTTAATAAAATAAGAAGTAAAAAATATTAATTATATTTTAATATACTTATTTTTATTTATTACATATATTTAATATTATAAAAATATTAAATAAAATATACATTTTTTAAAAAATAACAAAAAATATAGAATTTCATATTATTTGATTTGGTTCAAATTTTTTAATTCGAATTTTGATTATTTTAGATCGGTTCGGATTAGTTTTTGCCAAAAATTTGAATTTTCAGTTTAGCAAAATTCAAATCGAAAATCTAAATGCTCATCTCTACGTATAAAAGGAGACACAAAGGGAGATGGACGGCGGATCTCATCCCTTAATACATGGCACCGGATCTGTTGTCCCTTCCTTATGTATCCTACCTTGTCTCATCTCATATGTATGTATAAATACACATATATATATATATACAAATACATACATATATATTATACATATATGTGTAAGTGGACACAAAAGAGGAGAACAACGTATCCAGTCCCCTATTATGTGGCACCAAATTGGTTGTCCTCCTCCCTTTATGTCCTACTGTGTCATCTTTCAAATGTGTATATAACTACACATGTGTATATATATTATATACATTCAATGTGTGTACTATATACACATGTGAAGAGGATTACGGAAAGTGGGAGGATGGATCTCATCCTTTATTACATGGCACCAGATCTGTTGTCTTCTTCTTTCTGTATTTTATTTCACATGTGTGTATAGATATATATATATATATCACCTCTTATATGTGTATATTTGTGAATGTTACCCGGAGAGAGAGGAACCATGAATTTCATATCTTAATACATGACACCGTATCTATTGTCTTCCTCGATCAGTGTTTCATCTCACGCACACGTGTATGTATATATACTACATACATATATATAGTTATACATACATGTGCATAATATATATTATAGATACACATATATGCATATATATTACATACATATGTGTGTATCTATACACACATGTGAAAGGGGATACAGAGGGATGGGGACAACGTATCTCATCTCCTATTACATGGCACCGGAGCTGCTGTCCTCTTCCATGTGTGTCCCCTCTCATATGCGTGTATGGATACATATATGTGTATATATATATGTATATATTATACATATACATGTGTACATACATACACACATCAAAAAGATAACACAAAGGGAGAGGGGGAGTGGATTTCATCCCTTCTTATATGGCACTAGATTTGTTGTCTCCCATCCTCTTATTCTCACCATATCCCCTTATATAAGTGTGTATAGATAAATCATACATGTATATTTATAATATATACATACACATATATGTATGTATCTATAGACACATGTGAAAGAGGACATTGAGGGATGGGGACAATAGACTCATCCCTTAATACATAGGACCGGATCTATTGTGTTTCTCCCTCTGTGTCCCATTATGTATCCTCTCACATGTGTGTATAGATACACACATACATATATATATATATCTTAATGTGTATTTATACACACATATGAGAAGAGACACGAAGGAAGTAGGACAGTGGATTCCATCATCTATTACATGTAGGTACACATACACCTGTGTGTATAGATACACATGTGAAAAGGGATACATAGGGAAGGGGCAGCGCATCCCATCCCCTATAACATGAAACCAGATCCGTTGTCTCACTCATTCTGTGTCCCTTTAATGTGTATCTATACATTATATATGTGTGTGTATTTATACATATATGTGTGTGTATAGATACACACATCTGAGAGGGAGCACGGTGGGCGGGGGACATTGGATCCCATCCCCTATTACATGGCACTAGAGCTGTTGTACCACACCTTCGTATCCCACCATGTCCCCTCTCACATGTGTGTGTATTTATACATACATACATATATGTGTGTATTTATACGAAGGGTGGGGGACATGGCACCGTATCTACTATTCTCCTTCCATGGTGTACCTTCATATGTGTGCATGTGTGTATTTATACACACATATGAGATGAAAGATGGAGGGGATGGGAGAACGGATCTCATCCCCTAATACATATCATCTTATATGTTATCCTCTTAGCTCAGTGTCCGCTCTCACATATGTGTGTCTTTATACATACATATATGTATGTGTATCTATACGAATGGTGGAGGACATGGCACCGTATCTACTATTCTCCTGCCTCAATTTACCTTCACTTGTGTACATGTGTATATTTATCCACACATATGAGAGGAGAGACGGAGGGAATGGGAGAGCGGATCTCATCCCCTAATACATGGCACCTTATCTGTTGTCCTCCTGGCTCAGTGTCATCTCTCACATGTGCGTATATGTATATGTATTATGCATATACATACATATTTATACATATATATGTATATATGCGTGTGATACCTTTGGAGTTGGGTCGTTGCTTGGCCAACTCCTGTGTGTGGATGAGCCGATGTTAGGCTATCTAAGATTGAATAATAATAAAATGGATTGGATAGACTATTCATGTCAACGAAAGAAATTTCTAGTTAAGCGTGCTTGCTCTAAAGTAATTTGAAGATGGGTGACCCCTTAGGAGGTCTCTCAAGGTGCGCATTAGTGAGGACAGAAGGGTTCATGGTAACCTGTGGGGCCAGTTTATGATCCCGATATGCTCGGATTCATGTGGCTTGCGGGCTGGGGTGTCTTAGTTGGTATCAAAACCGACCTGCGACAGCCCACAGTCGTTGACCTGACTGTTGAGGGGCTTAGCAGTTGACAATCCTTGGGTGCAACGTAGACATTGCATTCTAAAGTGGAAGATGATGTGATACCCTCGGAGTTAGGTTGTTGCTTGGCCAACTCCTATGTGTGTATGAGCTGGTGTCAGACCATCCAAGATTAACTAGTAATTAAATGAATTGAATAGACTACTCATGTCAACAATGTGCACATTCCTTTTCAGGAGCTCTACTAAAAGAACTGTAGAGTTAAGCTTGTTTGCCCTAAAGTTATTTGAAGATGGGTGACCCTAGGGGAAGTCTTTCAAGATGCGCATGAATGGAGACAAAAGCGCACTAGAAGGACTCGTATTGACCTGTGGGACTAATCTACATCCCAAAATGTTTATCTTCGCGTGACTTGCAAGTCGAGGTGTCACAA